GTGTTTGTGGGGGGCCTTGCTTGCAATGAAATCCAGGGCCTTGCACGTGCCAAGCAGGTGCTCTGCCCCTGAGCTGTGTCCCTGGCCCTCAGCATTGATTTTTAAAATACATTTAACTCTGACTTACACAAGGAAGAATGTGAACATTGTGTATTTTCTCAAATTTTTCTTAGCTGTCTACAGTTTCTCAGAGGTACAGGGGCCCCCCAAAACAATCTCTGCGAGTAACATGCAGTAAGCACTTTCTTTGTCCTGTACTAAGCACACACCACAGGCACAGCCCCACCTGCTGGCCACTCTCTGGGGTCCACACGATAGATAAGAGAGAGAATCTTAGAGACTTAGTCACTTGTCTAGAGACCCACAGCAAGGGTCACAATAGGAACCTGGGTCTCCCTGGATTTTAGCAGCGCTTCACCATTCACCTTGCAGAAACAATGAGGGAAACTGGGCACGATGGTGCTTGGCTGTAACGCTGGCACTTGGAGAGCAGGAGGATTGCCATGAGTTCAAGGCCAGCCTGGGCTACAGAGCAAGACCTTGTCTTTAAAACAAAACAAAACAAAAAAACCAGGAGGCTTTTCCATGTATGATTTTATTATTCTCCAGGAAAGATTTAGGAGTGTAGGAAACAGCTTTACTCATCTATCCCCTATCGGGGTCCTCTACCCCAGCACTGGGAGCAGGAGGTGTAAGTGCCAAGGAGAAGCTCACCCTGCCCTCCTCACAGCAGGTGCAAGTGTACCCCAAGATGACTCAAGAGGGACCCCTTCTAGAGATGGGGGTGGCACTGCATGGTAGAAAACAGCTTCTGTCCCAGCAGGAGAGGGACAGTGAGGGCTTGGAGCACATGCAATGCAGAGGGAGCAGGTTTCACAGCTGCTGTCAGGACATGGCCAGCGCTCAAGGCCGCCTGGCCTGGCACACGCAGCTGCTGGTCAAGGGTGGCGCTGTGCATCCACCCCTGGCAGGGCTCCTAATTAACCGCAAGCCGCCTCCTCCTCCCTGTGTGCTGTGTCTCCCATTGTGGTCCCGGGAGGGGGGCCAAGGGTGTAAAATATGCCCCTGTGGTCAGTGGGGGTGGTGGTGAAAACTAAGATGGGTTGTTACCTGGGAAACGGTGGCCACTCTGGTTGCCCAAAGGTCAGGAGGAAGAAGCAGGAGCTTGGGTGAGAAGTGACTGGTACTGGAGCAGCAGTGGCTTCCACTGCAGAATTTAAAGGGATACCCCCTCCCCCCCCCAAAAAAAAAGCAGAAGTGAAAACCAGTGGTTGAGGCAAAAACCATGTTATGTCTAAGATGTTTGATATTCAGACAGATAGTGAGGTTAAGCTCAACTGCCTATGTTGTAGGGTAATAATAATAAGCCTGTCTTCTGGAGAGTTAACAACCTAAGTTTGCAGATCAAAAAATAGAGAAAAAGAAGGGCTCCAAGGACAGCCAACATTTTGGCCCTAGCCTTTCAAGGTCTGTGAGGACTCAGGACATAGGAGAACCTGTACTGTAACAACTTATAATTCAGTTGTGTCCCAAATTTTCTGATCAAGGAGATTATAGGGCCATAGAGGAAAGTGATCGATGTAGAGTGTGCCTAAGGAGAGTCACATGGAGAGAAAACATTCTCTCAGGCTTTCACAGAGAGCAAATTGGTCAAGCAATGGCCGTGACTCATCCACATGGCTGACACTGACAAAGGATCTACAAACTGCGATACAGGGTTTCAAGGTAAATCCTGAAGGGATTTGACTGACCTTGTCAGATACAAAAGATACTTTTTTGTTTCTTTTTTACATTTCTTGTTATATAGGTCTTGTTTTATCTTGGTCTTAACCATCCAGCACAAAAGTATAAAAATGAAGTATAAAAATTAAAGCCATATTAATATGCTGAGTTGTAAAAGGCTCAAGTCAACAACTTCTTACATTGCCAGTCCTATGGATAATCCACTGCTATTATGGACTACTGGACTATATTGGATTATTTTGCTGAATTCACTCACTCACAATATTTAAATGGCAATGGAATACCCTTCTCTGACTAAACTAAACAAAAAAGGGGGATACAAATGAAGGACCATTTTGTATCTGTATATTCAAAATAATTAAGATAGATATACAGCTACTTTCTCTTAATTAAATGAATAGAAAGATTTGTACTAATAGTGTTTGTGGATAGGATATCATGTCTGCACCTTGTACTATGAATAACCACTAAGAAGACAACAATATGTGATTTATTAATTATTAAAACTGTCCTAGTAATCAGTCTTTTTTTT